TATTTGTGGGGATTCACTGTAGGGATTGGTCTAATGATTTCTTTATTGGGGTAATATCATCAGTATGGATGTTTTTTCTTTTCCCTAGGGAGAATTGTGCTCATGGATGTATCGTTGTTATGATGTCCTAATAATCTGTTTTTGTTACTTGGTGTATTTGTTGGCATATGTTTTTTCTTCCTTTTTTTTGTTTATTCTTTCCACCATTATGTACGCTCATTCAAAAAAGATGAATAGACACTCTGTATGAACATTTATATGGTTTAGGGAGTTTGTTTTTTTGCTGTGTTCTCCGCAGGAGCTGACTCATTCTGGAGAGGTCCACAGAGTGTTGTGTGTACCACGGTATACATTTGGTGAACACTGAGGACTGGTTGGGGAATGGGAGAGTGGAGTACAGAGTCCCAAATGCTTCTCTACTTGAACTGCCCCGATTATACCCTATCATGGTGTGCCAGCATTCCCTGTGTTTGTTCTTGACGGTGTTGTTTGACTGAACATTTTGCTTTGTTTGTGTGTGTGTGTGTGCATGGACACAACCTATGGATGGGCTGATGTGTGCATTGCCTCATTGTTTTGCTGCATTACCTAATCCACGCCAGAGCGTTTATTATTTCTTGGTAAATGAATGGTTTTCTGAGCAAATTGCGGTGGTGGAAATTAATTGGATAACCGTTAACTGTAGCTGTAGAGAATAAATGACAATGCTCTGAAAAAAAAATTTTTGGACACGGTGTTGGTGTCTTGTTGAGCAGATGGATGCTGGGTTTTTACTACCACTATTATTTTGTTATGTGTACAAGTTAAAAGTGACTGCTTTTATTTTATTCTATGCGCTTTAGTCTCTCTAGCGTTGTGGTTTTCTTGTTGGATTAAAAAAAAAAAAATTGCTTCTCTCACATACGATACTTGAGTTGTGTGAACTTCACCTTTTATACGGCTCAGAGAAAATGGGTGGAGAGAAACTTGTATGAACCATGTAAGATGTGTAAGTGTACAGAAGCCAATAAAAAAGAACTAAAACCATGTTTGTAAATTTTTTTTCTGAGTAATATACTATTTCTTTTTTTGGTGGGATTTGTGTTAAGGTAATTGGGTACAAAAAGACTTAAAAACAGTTTCTTTTTATATTTTTATTTTGTTTAGTGGGATTTACTGTATTTAAGCATTGTGTTTACGTTGTTTCTTCAGTGACGTGTTTAGACTTGATCACGGTGAATGTATTTCTGCTTCTCTTCTTTTTTATTACACAATTCTTTTTGGTTTCTCTTTTTTTTCCTTAACTATTTCCATATATTCTGATTGACTAGATTAAGTTGTAAACGCTACTTTGTATTTGAAGGCTTTGAAAGGAATCACTAACCGCAACACATACAAACACAAGTACTTCTGAGCATTCACTACAAGTATTCAATAACCTCTTTAACCTGAGGAAAAGACAGTAAAGAAGGAAGGAAAGAAGGACTGAGGAACAGAGAGAGGAAAGAAAGAAGGGCAACCATGAAATACAACATGCCCCACTCTCTGTTTGTTGTATTGCTCATCTTGCTGCTGGGCTGCACCAGTGGGTATGCACAAAGCGCAGTTCAGCAAGAAGAGATAACTTTACTTCGTACATTTAATGGTTCTCATTTTTGGGAGTTTGGGAATGGGGAATTGGTGGCAATTGACGCTGCTGTTTGGTTTCCGCCGAATGCAACCCAACATGAATACATCGAATTATTAACACCAGCAAGCAGTGAGGGTGAAAATGCGTGGTGGAACGCCCATAGAAAATGGTTCCGCTTTTATCCATCTGGATACAATCCTTTTTTCATGGGCTATGGCTCTGGTAAACCTTTTCATGCTGTTTTTGCTCTTGTGGAAAGCAACAACCCTCCAAGACGAGAGGATTCCACTCTTCGCATTGTGTGGATGACCACTCTTAATGGTGGATTCGAAAAGTATTCGTTGATTTACACTCCGTTGATTCTAAAACTTCCTTATATACATAGGAGAGCAGGGGTTGTACGATTTCCTGCTGACACTATCTCACCAATTTTAACAACAAAGAACAATATACTTCTGTTTCCTGTGCAATTTGTTGCGACGGAGAACAAAGTCTTTTCGACAGTTATGTATTACACGCCCCATGATAAACAGTGGAATTTTGGTGGTTTGACTGACAAAGGTACTTATAGTCCTGCTATTCTTGAGTGGAAAGATGATAAGTTAATGATGATTACGCAGCATACCAGTGGTTATTACGGAGTGTACGAGTCCACCGATTTGGGAAAGAATTGGAAAGAGTCTACCGGTACACTCTCCCGTGTGTGGACCAACTCCCCTATAAATACTGAGCGTGTAAGTCAAAACAACTTTATTACTGCTACTATTGATGGGAAGCGTGTCATTCTTTTTGTACAGTCTGTGGTATCTGGAGAAGATAAGGAACTTCATCTGTGGGTCACTGATAACACACGTATTCATCACGTTGGCTTGATAGTTAAGGATAAAAAAGTGAAGAGCAGCACCCTATTGTTCAAGGATGACAAACTGTACTTTCGGTATGAGACTGGTGAAAGGAAAGGTTATGGATTTCTTTATATGGATACGACAACCATGTTGGAGAAGATAAAGAGTGCGTTAACTGCCTGGACCAAACAGGACACTCTCGTGTCAAAAGCCACCAATCAGACTCTTGTTTCATGTTATTTGTCTTATCTAAAATGTAAAGAACCCATTCCCATCACTACTGGACTGGTGGGCTATTTGTCTGGAAACATCGATGGTGATAAATGGAAGGATGAATACCTCGGCGTGAATGCCTTTGTAAGTGGTATAACAGAGAGGGTTACTGATGGCTTGAAGTTCATGGGTGTTGGTGCAGGAGCAATGTGGCCTGTGAGTATAAATGGACCAGCGAGGCAGTATCACTTTACAAACTATGCATTTACTCTTGTGGCGACGGTGGCTATCCACGAGGTACCAAAGAAGGGCAGCAGTCCTTTGTTGGGTGTAAAACTGAAGGACAGAAATGGGCAAGAAATTCTTCTGGGAGTGTCGTACACAAATGAGAGTAAGTGGAGCACCATAAACAGGGGAACCACAAGTAAGTCAACAGGTACATGGGAGTTGAACAATGGATATTCTGTGATATTGACATTTGAAAATCGTGAAAGCTCTGTGTATATTAACGGCACTCGGCTAGGTGTGGGAGCTGACTTGGGAATCGCAGAAGAAGGGGAAGAAATATCCCATTTTTACTTTGGTGCGTACAGTGATAAAGTGCCAAGAACCATCCACATCCTCCAGGCCAAGCCTGAAGAAACTGTTCATATATCAGTGAAAGACGTTATGCTGTACAATCGCGTGCTGAGTAGAGAAGAAATTGATGTGCTGCACAAGAGCAAGATGAGCACTTTGTATGGAGCTAGAGATGCAGAAGAGATTCTGAAGAAGATAATGAGCAGACCAAACGTTGTTAATTCCCCACCACTGGAAGCAACAAAAATACAACAAAATGCAACTTCACAAGACAATGCAACTCCGACCCAAACGGAAACTCCCACTGCTACCCTTCAACCTGAGCCTAGCACTGAGGTTGCGACTCAGTCAGAAAATAAGACGGCAGTAACTGCTACAGCTCAAACTCAGGAGAATCAACATTCTACTCAATCAACGGAAAAACAAGAGCAGAACAAAGCGCCCGAAGCACTAAATGAAAGTACTCATGCGGAACCACCAGAAAAAGATGAAACTACCGAAGCAACAACTACAGGAACTACCGTGCCGGTTTCCAGTACGAACACGATGCAGCAAGACCTTTTGCGGAATACAACTCAATCAATGATCAACAATAATGTTAATGCCCACAAAAATAAAAGTATTGATGGTACTGTTCGTATCTATGAATCTGTATTGCCAATGCTTCTGCTGGGATTGTGGGCTCTTGTAACAGTTTTCCCATAAATGTGTGTGCAACCACGTGAATATAATTTCTAATTGGGCTTCTTTTCATCAATAAATAATAATTGCTGTCCATAGTGTGGACCCTTTTCTTTTTAATTGTTTTCTCTTTTTTTTCTTGCTGTTTTTCCCTTGTGCTCTGCACCATGGAATTCTTTTTTCTTTTTCTTTCTTTTTTGGAAAATTAACTGTTTGCTACAATCTCTGTAGTCCAGGGATTAACTCCTAACGCTACTTTGTTTGCCCACACACGATGCTTGATTTCTCGACCTCACCTTTTGCAGAGTGTGAATGTAACAGAGGAGTAATCGGGCACATTGAGGACCGCACTGGGTGAGAATGATGTATGCACAGGAGTTAATGGGATGATATTAAAAATACATTTTTTTTTTCTTGTGTGGTGAAAAAAAGATTTTTTTTTTTTTTGCAAGCAATCTATTGTGTGTGTGTTTTATTTCTGTTTCTCTTTTGTGTGTGTGGGTTTTCACTGTGGGATTGTTTTCTTTAATTACTATTCAGTTTCTATGTATCTGTGTGTGTGTTTATTTGTGGGGATTCACTGTAGGGATTGGTCTAATGATTTCTTTATTGGGGTAATATCATCAGTATGGATGTTTTTTCTTTTCCCTAGGGAGAATGGTGCCCATGGATGTATCGTTGTTATGATGTCCTAATAATCTTTTTTTTTTTTTACTTGGTGTATTTGTTGGCATGTGTTTTTTTCTTCCTTTTTTTTATTCTTCTTACCATTATGTACGCTGATTCAAAATAGTTGAATAGACACTGTACATGAACATTTATATGGTTTAGGGGTTTTTTTTTTTTGATTGCTGTGTTCTCTGCAGGAGCTGACTCATTCTGGAGAGGTCTACAGTGTGTTGTGTGTACCACGGTATACATTTGGTGAACACTGAGGGCTGGTTGGGGAATGGGAGAGTGGAGTACAGAGTCCCATATGCTTCTCTACTTGAACTGCCCCGATTATACCCTATCATGATTTGCCAGCATTCCCTGTATTTGTTCTTGACGGTGTTGTTTGACTGGTTTCGTAATTATTTTATTGCGGCTGATTTGGTATACTGTGTGTTTCAGACTCTTTCTCTGGCTCCCATTGCCACTTTGAGAAGATGACTGTTTTGTGCAGTGGGTATTCTGGCGTTTGTGAGTGTGTGGGTGTGTTTGCATGGGGAATGAGATAAGTAATGGGGAGTGATGTCCAGTGGTGCTGCATTCTTCTGGTGGGCATGAGAAGGTCCAATAAGGGTTTTTTTTTTGTTATGGCTACTGCTGCCCATACCAAACCTATTTCTCTGCTATGCTGCAGCTGCTGGCACAAATGGTATTTTGACAACTATTACCGGTTGCTTTCCTAATATGGTGGTCTTTGACAGTCAGACAACACAACACTGCGAGGTGGACAATGCCAATGTTTTAAGTACCTTGACTCTTAGGGTTGGATATTACAACAATGATGGACTCAATCTTGGATGGCCAGCTTCTCTTGTGGAGGGAACAAATCTCATTTCATTTGTGCCTGATCGTGGAGCTATTTCAGAGAATATGAGTCTTGTCATTGTGAACACTGTTCAGGGAAAGGGTTCTATTCCAGTATCGAACAACTTCACCATGAGTTTTGTATACCCTTCCACGACATTAGCATCATTTAATTCTAACAGTGCCTATTATGGGTTGAAGACAATGGTGCAGACAAACTTCCCAAATATCAATCCCATTCAGAACTACCTGCTGGTTCCTCCTCAGTCAGACTGTTATGTCATGGCAAAAAAAATGTACTGTTGCTACTGGATGCCACAATTTGACGACTTCTGCATCCCTTCCTATTCCTGGGAACTATTCACTCTGCTTAACCGCGAGTGGATGGCGAGGCTACTACTTGCCGTGGGGTGTATTTCCCCTCGAAGTGAGGGTGCTGGTGCCAAACGAGCTGTATATGAACACTCTCGGGAAAAACACACTGTTGCTCCAGGACGCAGTGACGGGTGCGAATGTGACTGATATGAACAGTGTGTTCCTGGTGAAGTGCCCATACGGTGGGTGCCCACGAGAGACACTAAACAGTGGTGATCAGGCAGTGAGTGTTGATGTGTGTACTGGGACCGCTAGCACGGATCGTGTGTACTTGTCTGCTAAGGGTCGACCCTTCTCTGCAACAACAGGTGACTACGCTGTCTGCGCGGATTACGGTGCAGAGGTTGGTATTTCTCCCGCTGCACTTCCAGTAAGAGTATTGCAGGATCCCTTTGCTTTCAATGTCACTGTGATTACAAACACGTTGGTGACGATTGATGTGCGTGGGGGTGATCTCTTATGGAGGCAGGAACCATATCAAGTGTGTGCAGTGCTGCCGGGTACACCGTGTGAGTCTGTGGCTACTGCTCAAGATTCTGTGTGTGTGAGGAGTAGCTTCCCAAATTCCCCATCTGTTGATGTTGACATCTTCAGTCTGTACAAACTGGGTGCTGACAAAGTGACCTTTTGCTTTGTTGCATCTGATGTGACATTTAACGGCCGCCGTTATGTTTGGTTGCATGATGTGAGGGAACCTTTTTTGCCGGAGGGTGACTCAGCAGTGGCGCCAAGTTCGAATAAATTATCTGTTGGTGCCATTGTTGGTATCGTTATTGCAGTTGTGGTTGTTCTTGTTATTGTGGCTTTCATTCTGTTTTGTGTACTGCTGCGTTGGCGACAACAACAAGAAAAGCAACGAAGAGAAAAAGTGCAGATGGATGCTGTGCACTCTCAGTTCACAAGTAAAACAACCACAGTGGAGACTACTGCGAACTCTTTCACATATTCTATTTTTTCTTGTAGTGTTGTTGCTACTGAGTAGACACCTATCAATAATGCTGATGACTACTTTATCTCTCTGGTTTCTCCTCTTATTTTACCCTTGGTATTCCCCTTGTACCAGTGGTGACGTTGGTAGTAGTTTCTAATAGCATTCTAATTAATGTACACCTGAACACTTTTTTCTCCTTATCATGTTCGCTTTTCTTTTCTTTTCTTTCCTCTCTCTGCTCTTTTGCGGTCACAAGAACAAAGCAACACACAAACACACACAGACACACAAGTTCACACACGTTCATTCACACCATTTTATCATGGAGAACTACTTTATGCGTCACCTATTGTACCCTGTACTGCTGCTATTCTTGTTATTGTGCTGTGCCGGCACGTCCTTTTCCGCTGTTGTGCAGCACTTACCACAAAGAGGAGAGAGTGCTTTGCATGCGTACACCGTCGCCAACCTTGAGAAGAGTGGGAGAAACTGGAAGCCCATACACATCGAAGTATCCGCAGAAGGCGTGAATAATGTGTTGAGGGACTGTGACAGAAAGCGAGCCTTGGCCGAACAGTTAAAGGGGACGGGTACTCGGAGATATGACGACAGTGTGTTCTGTGATAATAAGACTGGGATAACCGATGAAAAGAAGGACCTCTTACTGAATAAACTCTTACTCGCCGCGATCAAGTTGCATACAGATCGTCTCAACATTGAACAGAAAGAGGGTGAAGTTGTGGTCTCTACAAGCACCATAAACTCATTTTCGGGAGAATGCGGGGTCATAAAGGCATGGGAACACAAAAAAAGTTTCTCCAATGCTGATTTTGTACTTTTTGTTGGTCTTGATGAATCTGAAATGTCAACAATAGTATGTTCTCAGGATTTAGAAGAACGACCAACTTCTGCACTGATCAAATTTGTACCGAAAGACATTGTGGACACGAGACACTTTGTCCGCACGGCAGCGCATGAGATTGCACATGGACTTGGGTTTGAGGTGACCCGTATGAGGAAACTTGAATTGATTAAATATGGGGCACTGAGAGGAAAAGGGAAGGTCACGGCCGTGGATTCTAAAATAATGCAGGAGAAGATGAGAGAACATTACGACTGTCACTTGGATATCACCGGTATGTACATGGAGGATGAGGGTGATGGTCGCAGAAAGTTGCACTGGGAGCGAAGGA